TTAATACGTATAAAAATACTACCCTATATATGTCGGTCAGGCTTGGTCTAGCGCTTGTATAGTAGTTAGTGTTAGTAATTGAAGTAATATTGGAGTAGTAGAACTGTAATTTGCTGCAGTTGATTAGGGTGCACTGTGTCGGCTCTTTAACAGTACACCCTAATCAACTAAAATTTACGTTCACATTAAAAGAGCATATATTTATATAATAGTTACATATAAATTTTCTCAGCCTTTCTCTTTCTGCTATCTTGAAAATAGGGACGGTTGTCAGGTGTCTCCACCAGCACGTGCAAGTGTTCAATACTGTTCGCGTTGGTCTTCAGAAGCGACTTGATAGTGTTTGGATTCAACCCGTCCACCTGAAAAACATGGAAAGATGAAAAGGGTGGGAAACAAATATGACGTTCACGTACATTTTTCTAATACATATATTTGTATTTACACGTATGTGAATCCGTACCTTAAGCTTTCTCAATTTGCCTTCTTTTTGTTTAGTGAGCTGTACTTCGCCACTTCTCAATCGCATTTTGGCGTCCGCAAAAATTTCTAGGTTCTCCAGCTGATCGATTGCATTAATTGCTTCGAGGTGTTGCTGCCGTGGCCATTCGACAACAAGTGACCTGATCTCCGGATGTCTTTTCAATTTCTCCAGTAGTTTAAGAGCAAACTCTTCGTCATCGTTACATGACAAGCCTTTCAATTTTCCGACCTTCAATCAAACATCATAGAATGAAAATGACACGTTAGAAGGTAGCACGCACTAAATCCGTATGCAGTTTGTTGTTGTTCATAAACCTAGGAAATTTTACGCACCCAGACACTGTTATTCAATTTATGTGACGTCACCTTGGTTAACTTGTAAAAACCTATCTCATTAGTTTAATTGTGCTGTCGTATTAAACGTGACTCAGCCGTGCCAAATATAGCAAAGTCACATGAAAATAATGTGACAGTAGCGCATTCAAAAGAATATTACAGTTTTCCCAGGAAATCATGTGACGTCACAATGAATTGAATGGGAGTGTAAGTATGAACAATTTTTAGTCCATGCATAATTTTGTACGAATTGTACATACCCATGCATAAAATTGAGCATTAACCTATGGCTCTGTAAAATTCTGCGTGCTAATGCACAACAGAATACTTAAGGGTTAGTGCATGCCACTGATTAACCATGTGTGTAAGTTCTCAACACTTGTAAGCGCTTAATTTCAAGTTGAATATTTGCAAGTGTTTAGCTTTGTAGTAGCTCTGAAAACCCAACAGCATGCATTGCATTGCATTGCATGAAACTATCTCGAATATTTCGGTAACGTTAACCAAGTTATCGTAGTGGTTGATTTGAACGCTATCACCAGGTAGCTCGTTTGAAAGCTCTTCTCCCGAGAAAACTGAAAATGTCATGACACTGACTATAGTGTGCAACACACACTGTTGAGTTGTCAGTGGATACAAAATCTGAAATGATGGGTGCTGGCACATTTATGTGCAGTGTGCATGTCTATGCACTACTATGTTAAATTTTCAGTGCAGACGTGTCAATGAATTCAAAACCTGAAATGATGGGTTATGAGTGCTGTTCCACCTGAACTCTTCCTTATAGATTATACTGAAAAATGTGGTGCTAAGGACACACTCTCAGACCTGTACTGATTCGGCCATAGCTCCCTTTCACTCCTATTCGCTTTCGGACGCCATGAGACACCCGACGCTTGATCGCTGCAGAGCTTTGCCCGCCCCCCCCTGTCGCCGTAAGAGTGAAAATCGCAATCTTTTCGCTCATTTATAAATATATAAATAATAATAATATATAAATAATTCGACTCACTCTTGTATCCTCAAGGTCAAGAACCTCTAAAACCTTCGGCTTCTGCCTCTGCTTCCACTCAAGATCCTTTAAAACCTTCTGCTTCTGCTGCTCCTGCTGCTCCGGCGTCAACTTGCCAGCCGACTTGGGTTTATTCTTGCTGCTCAGTGCCCGCAGTAATTTCGGTGAGTGCAGAAATTTGGTTGGGTCCTGGTCCTGGTGCTCCTGGGTCTCCGTCTCCTTTAAATAGGAACAGAACACATGCTAGAGTAAATTGGATAGTGCATAACCCGCCTACAGTGGTTAGGTTCTGAGACTGCGCAGCTAGCGCAGCTACTCCGGCTTTGTACTGGAGCATTATAAGCTAGAGTATGCAGGTTATTCATTCAAAGCAGTATAAAAATTGTCCTTTTTCGTAGTGCCCTAAAACGCAAGTTTGGCATAATTTTTGGAGAAAACAGTATAGCGGAAATATTTCTTCAAATCTAGATTCTAGAAAACCGGTTTTCCGGAAAAATTCACACGTTTACCCCCGTTAGTGTACAAATGGATATTCACACACCTGCAAGTGTGCGACATTCACACACTTGCGTTTCCAGTGTGGTGTCCCATGATACTTTGCAAGGTCTTAGCAGATTAGCCTTTTGCTTTCAAATGGGTCGTACTAAAATTACAAAACAGGTGTCATTCAAAAGGTAAAGCCTCATAGTAAAATACCAAACCATAAAAATGGGGTCACTTTGCCATTTGTGGCTTACATTGCTGAAATCCAAAAGGGTATCATGGGACCCCAGGCTCCCTTACTAGGGATGCCGGTTTGGGTGGCCAATACGTGCCATCTTGGACGAGCCGGGCAAACCGGGCTCGCGCGGTCGCGCGTGGATCGCACTCTTAGCACGGTGCTCCTCCCTCCTGGCTGGCCTTATCAGCATGCCTTAATTACAATTACACCGTACGGACCGTACAAACTTACCCGAGAAGCTTCGTGATTTGGCGTTGGAGGAGGCACTTCTTTAGTCTGGTCGGTACGAACTGCCTCCTCGAAGGAGACCTGTTCAGTTAAAAAGCATTCCACTGTTAATAATTATTGTCACCTGATGACCGACTATGTCAAGACATAGGCTACTCGTGTTTTAAAACAACCCTACAGTGGTTGGGTCCTGGGACCGCGCAGCTAGCGCAGCTACTCCGGCTTTGTACAGGAGCATAAAAAGCTAGAGTAAGCAGGTTACTCATTCAAACCAGTATAAAAATTGTCCGTTTTCGTAACGTCCTAAAACGCAAGTTTGGCATTTTTTGAGAGAACAGTATGCAAAATATCGAAAATATTTTCTCAAAATCTTGATTCTAGAAAACGTAACCTATCCAGCGAACCCTCGGAAGCTTTATTCCAAATACCCGTTTTCTGATTATACAAAAAATTATGAGAGATTATAGGACTATAGAACGATTCTAGATTCTAGATAGAGATTATAGAAAATTAAGGATTATAGATGCGATTATAGGGTCGTGTACTTCTTATTATACGAGTTGTCGATCCCTCGGATAGGCCGTACTGTGTTGTTCTTCGGTCAGTACGTCCATACCATTACCCCCAAATCTACCCCTCCACATAAAAGACGTCGGTTTCAGGCTTGAGATTCGGGTCTGGGCTTGGGCTTGCGTGTTTTTGGCTTAGCTTAACTTGATATAACAGTAGTCTCCACGATATCTCTTATGAAGACAACCTGGATCTCTTTATTGTTGCACACGGGCCTGGACATGTTCCAGACTAGGCTATTTCTCTCACTGTTAAAAATTTCTTGGGATTTTCCGATGGTTCACTTTTCACAATTCCCAGAGGACTCCGTCCTTAGTTTTTGTTTACTAAAACCGTTGTTAATGGTGAAAGCTTTCATTCGTCTTTATGTTTCAAAGCTAAACTCGGCAGGTGAAATCTACAGAGTTCTTTGGGAAATCTCAAAGGACTTTGGCAATACTTTTCACGAATGTTCCTCTGTGAAATCCCAGGATTTTTTCTAACAGTGCTGCCTCGGGGTTTTGCGTTTTGCTGCGCGGTATTAAAATATCAGCTACTCAGGACCCCCCCCCCCCCTCCCACGGCCCAAATTCTAGCCGTCAACTCTCCGGGCGGGTTGACCAATGACGACTGTAGTCTAAACACCGTCTTTATTGTGAATGCTACTTACGTTGCGCCGTTTCCTAGGATGATGTGATGGAGTCGATTCTGCGTCAGAACTAGAATCCACCATTTTGGTTTGGCTCGGGGCCTGCATCGAACCAACAAAAAAACGGAACAAAAGTGAAGGAATTGTTCTATTGGGCCGGGTGACATCACACATAACCTATGTGGAACGAAAGCGAGTACATGAATATAGTAACTGAGCCTATTTCGGATCAGCCCCTAATTTGGATCAAGAAGACCCACACTCGCTCCCTCGCTAAAATGTATCAGTTTTAATTCTCTTGGTGAAAATGTTCGTAGTTTTCTACCAGAAAATACCACGCTATCTTGCCAAACCTACAGAGACGGAAAGGAGCAGAGACCAGAGAGACACAGGTCGGACCGGGGCGAGTGAGCGCTGTCGTTCTGGTAACCTCCGGCCACATTTTTTGTCTCTCCGCGGTAACCTACGCAGCCATTTTATGACTTTTTGGGGAATTCTGGTGGCGGCCGGGGCCCTTACCCTCCCAGTCCGGCCCTGATTCTTAGGACACACAAATAGTGTCCCGAACGGTGTCCTATACATGTCTTGTCTGTATCATGTCCCTCGGCTCGTCAGGGTTTTCATTGGTTCAGCCCATAATGACATGCCCTCCAAATATTTTAGAAGTTACGGGGAAAGGATTTATCAACATCCTAGCTTCTGAAATCATGCGCGTTAAGTAAAAATTGGGAGAACCTAAAGCCTTGCGATTCGTGGGCCTTAGTGGGCCTTAGTACGTTTGAAATCCGTAAACAACGAAAATGGGGTGTCTCATGGCACCCCAGCTGCAAATGTCTCATGGGTCCCCAAGCTGCACATTTGTATTGAAAGTGGTGTAGAGTTCATATGTTATGTGTGAGGATCGTGATTCGGGTCTCAAATTGAAGAGGGAGGACCACTTGACAACAACATGAGAAGTCCTGGCCCTAAAAGGAAAATTTAATGGTGAAAAGCGAACGTGCCGTATAATACATGAAATTTACTTAAGTCCAAACTATGGGCTTGCCCAACTCCATGTCGCTCTCACAGCCTCGATATTCACACCAGACCCTCCACCTTGCAGCCAATAGCAACACACCTGGTAGGGATGCCAACCAATTTTTTGTCAGCACCACCACTTGTTACTTTCTGAGATATCGCAAAAGTCTAATGGGACCCCAAGTCTCATGGGACCCCAGCTTCACTTATGAAAAGTGTCGTTCCTGTACAAACCCAAAGTTTCCGGAACTTATTTGTTGTTTGATTTGTTTAGAAAGGAACCTACCTACATAGTTATTACCTAGTTTTGATCACCTGACTCGTTTTAACTCATAAAAATAACAAGAAACAACAAGTTTATAATTTGGGGCCCTGGCCTGGCCCCCAAGCCTGCACTGAAAACGCAAGTGTGTGAATGTCGCACACTTGAAAGTGTGTGAATATCCATTCGTACACTTGGGGGGGGGGGGATAAACGTGTGAATTTTGTAGGAAAAATTCACACGTTTACCCCCGTAAGTGTACAAATGGATATTCACACACCTGCAAGTGTGCGACATTCACACACTTGCGTTTCCAGTGTGGTGTCCCATGATACTTTGCAAGGTCTTAGTAGATTAGCCTTTGCTTTCAAGTGGGTCGTACTAAAATTACAAAACACGTGTCATTCGAAAGGTAAAGCCTCATAGTAAAATACCAAACCATAAAAATGGGGTCACTGTGCCATTTGTGGCCTACATTGCAGAAATATCCAAAAAGGGTATCATGGGACCCCAGGCTCCCTTACTAGGGAGGGATGCCGGTTGGGGTGGCCAATACGTGCCATCTTGGACGAGCCGGGCAAACCGGGCTCGCGCGGTCGCGCGTGGATCGCACTCTTAGCACGGTGCTGCTCCCTCCTGGCTGCCCTTATCAGCATGCCTTAATTACAATTACACCGTACGGACCGTACAAACTTACCCGAGAAGCTTCGTCATTTGGCGTTGGAGGAGGCACTTCTTTAGTCTGGTCGGTACGAACTGCCTCCTGGAAGGAGACCTGTTCAGTTAAAGAGCATTCCACTGTTAATAATTGGCTGAGCGATTAGCGAAGCCCATTACTCCACTGACCGAAAAAGTTTCATTATGTTTGCTGGTTTGTTTGTTTGTGTGTGTGTTTGTTTGTGTGTGTGTTTGTTTTTGTGTCTGTCTGTCCGCACGATAACTCGAGAAAGAATTGAGAGAGCGATCTGGGAATTTCAGGGTCGTTTTGTATCATAAAAAGACAGATCGAGTTCGAAGATGAGCATTCTGGCTCAAAAATTGGCTTTTAAAAAAATCAAAAACTACAGGTGGCAAAATGTAATTTTATCAAATATTTTTTTATGGGCTCCTAAGGGGTAACTCGTCAAAGTAGAGCCCTATAGGTGAAAATTTCGTCCGTTTGGCTCTATCTTGTACCGTTTAGGTGCTAGGGGGCATTTCTGGACGAAAATGTGGTGAAAATGACCAAATGGTCTATTAAACCGTAAAAGAGGCTTTATATCAAAAAATTGCGTATACACTCCTATTCACTCGTCTCGGGTGTCAGCGCCGCAGGCCTAGCTATATGTGCGCCAGGCGCGTCGCAGCGTAACAGTGTTTCGTGAGATATCGCGAAGCCTGTTACGCGAGACATGGTCTGGCGTACATATAGCTAGTTTAATCATAATCGGTGTCGCCGACATTCATACACTGGTAAAACAAGTGTTTAATTTTGCACGTCAATTGACGTTTAAGTTCAAGTGTGCATTTTCTCGACACTTTGTGGTGTCTAACTATGTTATACGTCAATTGGTGTTGAAACTTTCGACACTTCTGAAGCGTATAGAAGCTGCACACCGCATGGTTCCCTATTGACAGCATAGAACTGTGTGTGTCCCAAGTGTGCAGAATTTAGACGTTTACAAAACGTTTACAAAACGTTTACAAAACGTTTACAAAACGTCTAAAATTTGCACTCCACGCAAGTGTGCAACTTGAGTTAAACACCATGTAATGTGCTAAATCACAACTTGCACACGTTTGGTGTGCAAATATTGCACACTTGTTTTACCAGTGTAACGTGCCCCCACAATGAACAGGAGCCATGGGCTACGAGCCATAAGCCTCAGACCATCTTTCCTAAAACCGCCCAAATTCACGTAGTTTTTATCGCGAATATCAAAAGTAAATTAGCCAACTGCAAGTGCGAATGCGTAATGCCAAAAGAGAAAGGCCCTAGGTCCCGCGGGGGAGAGCCGTGGGTGATGGCCCATGGCTCATGGCTCACGGCCCCCGTTCATTGTGGGGGCACTTATAAGCTTGCACTGCAAACCCAACAGTGCATTTAGTACACACAAGTATGAGTCGAATTGCAGCCACATACCTACAAGTGTGTGTTTTTGCTATAGTACACTCATGGAATCGTGTAATTGCCATAGTACACACCTACAAGTATGGACTTACCATACTACACACCTACAAGTGTAGACTTACCATACTACGCACCTACAAGTGTGGACTTACCAAAGTACACACCTACAAGTGTGTGCTGCGGAAAGTACACACTTGTAGGTGTGTACTATGATGGCCAATACACTCTTTCTTGTGTGTACTATAGCTGTTATACATGGAAGTATGTTGTGTGTTCGCACACCTGGAAACCCTTATGCAAGGCTGAACAATGTTTATAAAACGAAAGCAGAAAAACCAATAAACCGGTTGTTACTCAAACGTCTGCAAGTCCGTTCACCGTTCAGTCCTCCAGTCACCATCCGAGCCTTACCCGGTACATGACAATAGCAACCCGAGGCAATGTAATAGCCTGAATGTTGTCTGGAGCATGTCGAGGGTGACGGTTAATTCGTAGATAAAAGGCAGTTAAACGGCAGGTCAGCGGTAAACAATCGGCAGTCTATTGGAAGACAAATCGTAAGCAATCGATAAACAATCCTCTCTCTCCAACGGCTGACAAACGACAGACAAACGGCAGACAAACCACAGACAAACCCAGGCCCGGGCTGGCCCGGGCGCAGAACGGCAAAACTACGCGGAGGCCACGGGCCACTGGCGGCGAGGCCGGAGTCCACGCTAAGCGTTGCTGTGCGACGGCGGGGCCACGGCAGCAGGGTTTCATAACTTGAAAATCGTTATTTTTTACTTTATCGGCATTATTATTTGAACGGGAAGACACATGAGCGTGAACGAGTGATTAGTAGAAAGATAAACGTTCACTGAATTTTCGTTGCCCTATCACCGGAAGACCTGAGACTACTCCTTGTGCCCTGAAATAATTTTCGTTCCAAAATGATTTAACGTTAAATCGTGCGACAGAATCGTGTGGTTCATGGTTTCATTAGAGGTTTGGTTAAGATCCCGCGAACCCACGGGTCTCTGCTTCCCATCAGACTCAAGCGATGAAAGCGATTTAAAGTGTGCATACAACCGTTAGTATAAATGCCATGTACACTGTGAAAGATGTGTACATGGGCATGTACACATTAAAAGATGTGTACATGGGTATGTACACATTATTTAAAGCATACACGCCATGTACACTTTATTTAAAGCGTACAATGTACACAATTTGGATTGACCGAGCACTTTACAGTAGCCTTTATTCTTCCAGCTCGCCTTGCGCGACAGGGTTTGACAAGGCAAGGCAAACTGCCTAGTAGAAATTACAGAAGCAGTTGAATATCTAGAAGGGGCTGAGTCCGGATTTCCCGTTTGGTGCATAGTTCTTTCAGAACTGGGGTATGTTCATGTTCAGGTCACCCTTAGTGTGTAAGTAGCCCCGGCCTCTCCTATTCTACAACCTCTAGTTTTAAGTTGTTAACTAAGTAAGTGTATCTTACCGTGCGAAATTTTGGATTGTCCGACGCAGCAATGAGGAGTTTAAACAGTTTCAAGTGCTGTCCAGTATCCATCTTACTGCCATACTTGTTCCATTCAAGTGGTTTGTCAAGAGGCCATTGCCATTTGATCCCCACGGCTTGGCCCTCACTCGTGATCTTGATTTCACATGTTCCTCCGCCACGGATGCTCGAAAAAATCTGCAAGAGCTAAAGATAACGTATTAGCTAAAATGGTAAAATAAGTCTGGGCAGGTAAAAAGCGACCCTAACGGGTTATTTTAAAAGGGCTATAGAATAGCGATGGAGCAGTGCGAATCGGTGATTTGAGCTCACAACATGACTTATTCAATTTGTGTTAGTAGCGATTGAAACACATTATAAACTTCATGGAAGGAGACATTATGATAAAGCTGTTGGTTTTGGTTATAAACAATATGCTGAATGGCAAAAACATTTATTACTCTTTTTTGACCGTCTTGATTGATGTTTCTTCGTTTGAGCTCTGAAATCGTTTCTTGCAGAGGCCCAGGTGCCGTGTTCTCTAGGTCTTCAAGTAGTCTAGAATACGCTATGGTTATATGTGCCACTCTGCATCTTCCTACGCACGTATTTTTGTCGAGATCTGCAACTCTGCAATGCTCTTCACACCACATTTCTGTTGTGTCCTGGAAACAAAATCAAAGGAGTTCTAGTTAGTCCACGAGACAATCTGATGGTCGATCGGTCAATCGCTTAGGCGCAGGCCCACGCTCTTTGCCGGATTCATAATTTGGTATAATTTGGTATCAGAACTGCACTCGTGATCAAAATTAAACCACTACTATTTTGATACACGCAAAAAACGGATTAGCTGGATACTTGATTGGTAGTAAGATTAGCTGTACCAGCAAACTTTTTCGCCATCCTAAGAACCGATCAGCCACTACGGGTATGACATTAGCCGCTAGAACTAGAAAGTTATCAGGACTAGCTTAGTACCTATCACGAATCCAGCTAATACATTAGCTTTCTCAGCGAATCTTTTCTTTCTTTTTTTTTTTGCGTGTAGGGCATAATTTTGAAGTGTGATGAGGTAGCAAGTTGCCGTTTGGTTGAAAGGTAGGTTTATGTGTTGTCAACAGTCCCATGAACTGGCCAAAAACGTGTACACATGATTGTGTCTTTGTGTTTGCGTTTAGTTGCCCGTAGGGAGGTTGAAGATCATTTTTCGCGAATTTCATCAAAAATTTCCTAAAGTTATTGCTTTATCGCCATCTTTGCATGTACATATCTCCGGAACCGTTTGGGCTACACGTCACCCCCTTTACCAAACGCCGTTCGTTAAAGGGTCTTTTTCAATTCCGATCTACAATCGTAATTTTAAAGAACGTCCGATCTGCAAAGTGCTAATTTTCCCCTCACTTTAGACGTTAACAATACGTAAGGGGAGATTACAGGGGAAACAACAGTCACTTGTGCTTTTCTAAATAGCACTGTAGTTCCTACATTTCGGCTTAC